CATGACGGTGTTAGGTTCAAAGTGGTTCCATCCTGTGTGGAACGGGCTACGGCCAAGCCACCGCCTTGTGTACGTCTGGTATGCATGATTTCTCAATAAGGCAGGAATGCTTCTGCTCTGCTTGCTGAAGGAGTGTGGGCCGGCTCAGATGATGAAACGTGGTTCTCATACACATGCCCCCCGGTCTTATTCCTTCGCGTTCACATCTGATATGGGTTTACACTGGATATGGGGTGTGTGGTTGTAGCTGTGGGTGGTGCAACTCAAGCCATTTATGGTCCCTCTGTAGACGCAGGCGTCCTGTGACTGGCAAATCCGAAACCGGATGCCGCCAACCATAGATATGTCCTAACCCGTTCCACACAGGATGGAACCACTTTGAACCTAACACCGTCATGAGGAGGGTACACACCGTCCCCTCCAGTTACGACCAGCCATCTCCTGGAGCCATCAATCGAGGTGGTGGGCTTTATACAGGTAGGCACCTTGTCAACATTCACATCAGTCGCACCCACACCGGGGAGCTGAAACAACTTCGAACTCTTGAAATGCAGGACTACTGAACACGCACGCAAACGTACCCCATCCGCCGCCTTAGTGACTTGGATTAGTAATTCGAATGGGAGCAGACGCATCGCACTTCTCCTCCACATGCAATAGTGACTTCTTGATCAGCCCACAGAATTCGCACCGAGCAAATCGGCCTTTTATTCGCAACACCTGAAATCAACATTAGTTCGTGATAAACTCCCATTGTTCATGACCTGATAATGTTGTTTTCGTTTGCCCGCATGCCCCTTCCCTGCACTAAGTTAGCCGTACAAATGCTGTATGAGTATCCTCTTCGAATTTATTCGCGGGATTTTCGCCATCCGTGGCCAGTGGAATTTCGAATACAACGTATGCACATGCAATTTTCTAAATTTGATCATGAACTGGCACAAACTGAATGGAGACACAGTAAACCTCATGAACTATAGTACTACACACGTGCATGAGTTTAATTTCTAGGTAAAGCTACCCGCCATTTTCGCCAAAGGATTGTAACTCGCACGTGCATGAATAAGTACCCAATACGAACTGTCGGTGTTTTCGTTAACATTTAAACGTGAACATCAATGACAGCCTTACATCGTCGGCATCAACATTTGAATGGAACCGAAATAGGAATAGAGCAACAACTGTCATCAATACGGTTCAGTAAAATTGTGTGTATTAAGGTGCTGCCTCCTATATGTGAAGTCGGGTTTGCAGTGTTGATGGAGGAGAATTCACAGTGTGGGAATGCGATTCGGTGTTTACTTCAGGCTCTCTGTGTCGCCGACTGCCGCTTAAAACGTTTTCTCTGCAACCATAAGCATTGACAAGTGGTACTATCACTTATTCGCCGCCTATAGCCTTGTTGACGCAACACCAACCGCAATACTATATCAACTAATTCCTGCTGCCCACTGTTAAACATTCGGCTTTCAAAACAGTGTTTGCATGGTTTTGCAAATGTCCAATGACGTATTAAGGCTGTCTTCCAACTACTTAACCCTTTGTACATCCCGCGGTGTACTCTGCTGTGCCCGTAGGCTATTTGGTAGCGATCTGCATCGTACGTCTCGTGTGCAGCCATTCGGTGCTCATAAAATAATTGCCGCTATGCGCCCATTCCTTTCTGATGTAACATACTAAGAAATTGCCGTACCATTACCGTTGGTATTACCTTTTCCTTAGTCTATCCAGAAGATTGGCCATGTCCAATTCATCATCTGGTAAGCGTCTCTGCGCTTCCGCCTTCAATCTGCTTGATACTTGCGTTTTCATAAGCCCGGTAAATTCAGTAAGGCTAATGAACAACTAGAAATATAACTATGCTCACTCTCACCACTAAGCTGCCGAGCGGAACATGAACTGTCGACATCATGATAATCGCTAATCGCTTAATTTTCGGGGTTGTTCACTTACCACGGATTTTCCAGGACAATTTCTTCTCGGGTGCATAGTCCAATGTGGTCACACGAGGGACAGCCGTTGATCATTGTGCTCCAGATGTCAAACTTTATGCTTACTGTAAATGGCCAAGCGTTGGTAACCTTTGGATGCACATGTATCCACCGAACTGGAAATATACTCAACAATTTACCACCCTAGCATTGATCCGTACCAACCACACAGTTCACTCGGACACTTCGCTTGCACGTCACATACGAATGAGCTCATGGATGGACTGCGCTTTTATCCAGCGGTGCATCGGCTCTCTAAGTTTAGTGCTACTTAGAATTAGGCAACTGGTCAACCTAGGGTCATGTAATCTACAAATCGATTTCAAGGAGCAAAATGTAGATAGCAAAATGGACAATGGCAGCCTCGCATAGTCTCGTGAGCAATACTATAGGATTTACATAGTGATGTGCATCGCGGCCGAATAATAATACGAAGAAGAAGATGCCGTAGGTCTCCGTCTGGGTATGTCACCGTAGTAGAATCCACCGGAGACGGTAGCATGGGTATCATAGATTACGATGACTATAGCAGTGTAGTGCGCAACGCATACAATCATCGCGAATTACCACCGAGTTAACTAAGCCCAATAAAAGGTTGGTTCGATGTGACTCTTCCTTCTTGGGTACCTGCATTAACTATACGATATTGTGTCAAATCGGTAGTTAATCATTCTAGAGTGAAACTGCACCCAAGCGCGACATACATTAGCGATAGAATAAAGGTGACACAAAGCAGGTGACGGAGATGGAGGAAGCAACTTCACAAATTAACAAGGAAATGGTGCGCTTAGGTGGACTTTTTCTTAAGCTCCGCTACGTTAAAGTCCGCGGTAAAAGAACGGGAATTATAGCTATGCTCACTTTAACGAGCAACTAAAAGCACAGTAGAACAGTGATGACTTATCGTTGGTGTGTGCTGTAAACGCCGTCTTCTGTATGAACTGCAGACTATCCGTGTCAGAAGCTATGCCAGAGCCGGTCCGATCGTATCCTGTCCGAGAGGTAAGCGAGAATTCGCATGCATGTGGAACCACCAGGCAGCCAGTCGTGTGGGACTAATTATTGTCCCGTTGGTCGGCAGTTCTATGCGCTAGCATATCTCGACCAATTCATCTGTGCCGAGAGGGCTGCCTGTGTCCAAGCATTTCGATTCAGATGTCACATTTTGTTTCCCCTGTCCGTGTATCAAAATTGATGACTTGTCTGGATCTCTGTACGTGCGCCTGAAGGTGACAACGGTACAAGGGAGCGCACAGAGGCACTTTACCGGGCTACATTGACATCCCATTGCAACTCGCGATATCTCACGAAATGAAACGTAATAAGATCCATCTGTCAAGGTAACGCGACACGAATAGATGTTAACGCTACCTGTACTTTGGGCGAGCCCCAGTTAGACATCGAGCCGTTAGATAATGGTGTCCCGCTTGACAGACTAATTGCATTCTCACATGCGTGACATCCGGTTTCTGATTTGTCTGTCTATGTGGCCAGCCACAGGATATATATATATATATATATATATATATATATATATATATATATATATATATATATATATATATATATATATATATATATATATCATTGGACTATGTCTCCAGACTAACCGTAAAATACAGTTGATAATTAAATGCATGTCTTTCCGTTGAAGCATACGGTTTGGCGATTTGTTCTGTCCCAATGTTGAAGACGCCGGTCCGTAGTCTGAAGGTAACATGCTTGTCTTTTAATTTGACGACGCGGGTTCTAGCTTACGTAGGGACAAGACTACGCTGCCAGTATCCATAGGTCACATGCAACTGGTGGTGGTTAGACGGCACCGAAGCATCGGTATTGCGTACCGGCGTACTGCTGATACCCCATGTTGCAGGATTTAATTACCTTTTACCTTCCACTTGGGCAGTGATATTCATTGTACGGGGACGTCAAGGTCTGTGCCTTGGTTGGTACATCTTTTCCACTCCAGTCTCACTAACCTACAAGTTTTTTGTTTATTTACCACTATAACTGTTACCCTTGCCCACTGTAGTTAAGCTTATTTGCGCATTAGATGTTGTTCCGAGTACATATATCGCCTGAAATTGTGCTATCTGATGGTGTCGGTAATGCAACCGGCACTGAACCAGCTTTTGCGGATAAGTGGCCGTTCTAGCTTGTCTCATTTTTTGTTAAATGAGACGATTTTGAACCGGTTTATTGCTTAGCTCCGTCTCTTCGGTTCTCTGAATTGGATCGCACACTATTTTATCTCAGAGGACATCCGTTTACTCTTTCAGCTTATTCCGTCCATCGCATACTGCCGTGGTTTCGTCTTCCTTGCCGGTGCTCTATATCACCAACCTAGAGCCAGCAGGCACTTGCAAAATCGTTTCTGTGCCCTGCATGGTCTCTCTTTTTCATGACTGTGCTTCCCTCAACCTGTTTATCTATTGTTTTCGGTCTTTTCGTGCTCAACACTTGGCTCCCTGTGCGCCACCTACTCGCGTTTGCTGTTCTAAATGTATGCTCACCCGCTGTTACCATTGACACTTGAGAGCATACAGAAGGCGTTCGTCAGCTTTTGTTTTCTCTTATTACTTTTCAACCGGTTTGTACGTTTGCCCGTTCTAACTTTATCTTCCAACCGGCCGACTCTAAAACCGTTTTTCGCTTATTACCTTTTGCTTTTATGTTCCCAGGTGATCCTTCCGTATCCTGTCATCCCTCCACCCCGTTGCTCACATCTAATCACCTCTCTGCCTTGGCTTTGTTGCCTGTAATTAAAATCAGTTAAAGCTCCGCGCACCTGTTCCTTTGTCCATCATAGCAGCACCTATTTTCTCAACACCCGTGAATTGAGTTTTTTTTAGAAACCTCGGTTCACTACGCGGGCATATCAGCATCCGAATTACCGTCGGTATATTTCTTTGGCAAGCGATTCCACACTTTCTGCGCTCACTTGCTTATTTGCTACTCACCTTTTTAACTCAACTTTTGCTCACCCAGTTCTCTGACTCTTCTCTTCAGCCACGTTCCTAGAGACCAGCCAATCGATTTGATCAATGTCGCATTCGAACAGTCTGGTAGTCACAAACTGGGGTACGCACTGAGTATTTATCACGCTCTTGATTATTACTTGTCGACGAGTGTTCAGTTGTTTGATACTTTGACGTACCGCTTGTGTTACATTGTACAGATCGCAAGGGAAACCCGTACTTCAACCTGCTTCAAAGGCCCCAGACCGTCGGACGGCATGGCAAAGTTTTCACGAACTGTGTCGTGTTGCTCCCACTCGACGTTGGAAATTGGTTTTGGTATGTTCACCGTAACAGTACATGTCGGGACTTAACTTTTCCCGAAGCAAATACTTTTTATTGCCAAATGTGACTCCTTTTTGTACGGAGTCCGATTATTTCAATAGAGATGTTTGGAAGAATCCTCCAGGCTCTAACACTCGACTGGCTACGTGTCACTCTATCTGAGTGATCTCGCTAACACAACTTGGTGTTTTTTGTTTGTTTGGGGGGAATCAATAACTTTATCCTGTGTGGTCGTGTGCAAACAGGCCTCCTGTAGAAGCAGTGTCAATGTGTTTGAACTCTTCTGTTAGAGTCGTTTGATACCTCAAGTCACATCAGTGTCTACGTCTAATTTTTCAACAGCTTACCGACACCAAACGGTGTTCCGCAGGTCACCCCCTCTGTACTCGGTTTCATCACAGAGTGTTCCCTCGTGTATTCACACGATGCATGTACCCAATTCTTGTCTTGAAGGAAACTAGCTGAGCTAGTCTGTGCAGACATCATCTTCTTATTCGACAGTGACTAGACGGCGCCGTCAGCCTTGTTGAACACTGGATCGGCCCCATCTTTTGCAACGCGCGTTGCAAAGTGCAGTTAAAAGACTGGCGATCTTTCGATAACCTTCGGACACTTACCGATGAAGCATTGGCGGAATTTGGTAAATTCATCCATTTTGACGGCTTCATTAGCTACGACGGGCGGCGCGTGACTTGAGATTTGTTTACTTGTCATGAATCGTTGATGCCTATGATACGAGGATTTGTCATCCGTTAATCTCAGCGCCACAGTGAAAGCCATCTATCTCTACGTGTTACTCATTGTGATTTGTTGGTTTTAAGTACCTTTTTACCTTTGGCCGTGGTCACTCACAGATAAACGGCGTTTCCACAGCTATGAGGTGCTGATCATACTAGACCGTTGATCCATTCAATCGGATTCGCTAAGTTGCGTTGGTTCTGACACGTGCAAATTACGCCCACCCATCAAATCTGGGGAAGAACTTTGCCTCACATTAAGTTTTAGTGGCACAAGGTTTGAATGAACCAATAAATGAAGTCGTTCAGTATTATTGACCGAGGGGCTGTTGGTCGGTCTCGCCCTTCAAACTCTACCCAACCAGCACTATTGTCGAGAGATTTCAGAAAATGGCTCCCACTCCCCATGCATATTATCGGGCCCGCTTGCTTAGAACGCGTTTGACGCTGATATGCGGTTTGAATAAATCTGTTTGCCACGCTGATCATTAAAAGCCACAGGAAATCTGTCTTGTCTGTCCCACCCTGTTTTCTTTCATGACCCCTTTTTATGGCTATCTACTGTTGATATGGTATTGGTCTATCGATTCGCAATGTTTGTTCGGGTAGTTAGATTTAGCATCGTGCCCTTCCTGCTATCTTCGCATTCGTTTTCTCTGAACTACTTGTACTTTTATACAAAGTAAAGTTCCAGCTCATTATTGATGTTCTGTTGTTGGCTGCGATGGTGACGAGCAACCGGAGCTGCAAATCATACGTCGGAGTATCCTGGTTTTCCGGTAGGCGCTGGTGCTCCAAGGAGACTGAGCTCGATGATCATCACTTTTCATAAATACTGCGCGTTCACTGTTAGAATTTGGGGCCTTCACTGTTTGTTTGAGATGCGACACACCATATCATGTTGGACAGTCATTTACTTTAGATTTCGCAGCCACCAATAACTAGTGTTTCATCTTTGCTCTAGTCCCAGTGCTGGAGGTTTACTTCAACGTCCGATTTCCTGTTGCATGGTCCGATTCATATTCGCAGCGGGCAATCCGGGGCCCACATTCACAGGCGTACATCTTGTGTTTTTATCTTATACAATCACACTCGTTAATACGATGCGTAAAACCGAGTAGGGACCTGTTTCCTTTTAGGTTTTTGTGCGGTATTTAGTTGACCTCTACACTAACAATTTGCAGTCTGACTAGTGCTTTTCAGTTGAGCTGTTTTCAGCCAGTTATTCGCAGCTTTGTTGTATTTCCGCCTCATCTCATGAGCTCATTGTATTTCTGACCTTTTAACATCCCCAGTCGATCTGGTTGAGTAGACTCGCAGCAATTTAGCCAGTTTTGTTCATTCGTTTTAAGCTCTCGATTGCTTGAAAAGCCGACATCCATGTCTGGTGAGTACGTGGGAGTGAATGGGAAAACATTATTTGTAGGAGTGAATATCGAGCATGTAAACTATGTAGGGTATGTTATTCTTGGATGTGACAGTGGGCTCAATATTGAATCACGATGAGAGTGTCTCCACGATACATTTTTAGTTTTTTGCTGCAATTGTTTCTACACTTTACATTTCGACTGTCCTGTTCCCCCGTGTTTTCTTGCTCACAACTCATCAGCGTCATCAATCACATGAATTACCTTCACATACCCAACGTTTGTTCAGCGAATGGCTAGAGAATGGCTACTGAGCATTGCTCGTCTACCTATCTGTCTAACACAGTACAACACATCATGTCACCCTATCGCCAACTTTTCTATATCCAGTTCAATGTTGTATCCTTGCTTTCGTGGTCTGTCCGGTTAAATGTTGTTATCCGACATGCTCTTACTTTTGATGCTGTTTGGATTTAACTCATGTATCCTCATTTCGATGCTGTAGTATCTTAGGCACTGATTGTTACATCTCAAGGCACGGCTCTGTGCTATTGCTGAATGGCTATTAGTGTTTTCTGATAGTTCATTATTGGTCACCCCTAGGTAGTTTCACACACACGCGTACCTCATTCAAACGCACTGTTCCATATACTCGCGTTAAGCTGCTCCTGATTGTTCTCACTCTCGTTGACTGCCACTTCCCTTTTGAACTATTCCTCTCGCTTTTTGGGTTAAGTGGCCTTACAAAACCATCCCTATGACTGACCTATTTTCTTCACTACATAATGCCTCAGTGTACGCGGTTTCGCTTTATCAATACGTCCACTTCTTATTCCCTTGGGAAGTTGATCATGTACTTAGTTGTCCAATGTGTCCGCCATCCATTTTATGACTTTCTTTTTTCACTCCACAGGCCGATGTGTCGTCGGCGGAGCTCCATTCTGTTCGGTGAGTTGCAATCACACGCAACAAACCATCCGCTACACTGTTGTTACGCGCACATTTTGTTACTGTGTCAAGCTTATACTTTTCACCCAAACGAGCCTTTATCCCCCTTGCGTCTGCCATCGTTCATCGGAGTCACCTTCTGTAGGGGTGTGGGAACTATGATTAATGGCCCCATTAAGACCGGGGGTCTTTGTGACTCAATGGGAATTTGCAGCTAAAATGGCTTGGGACCTTCAGCGTACTGATCCCTGCTGTATCCATCTTATGCTTCAACGCACTCCGCTTCTCCACACATACACACTCTTCACGTGTACTGGACCTGGGCGAATGTGAGTATACAACTCAAACTCGATCGATCTATTATAATCAAACTACCTCTGCAATTTAACTCATTCATTCGCATCTTCCCGGACGTCACATCTGTTTTCGTTTGACATTTACTCTCATCTACTTGGCCCGTTTTTCGCCACTTTTTGTTTGTTAGTCACTTGCGTTCTCTGAAACCTTTTTAACCACTTTCCAGCAATTAGGAGTGCAGCACACGATAGTCTTGGATCTTTACGCCGGTTCCGATACACATACACACACACACACGCACGTGCATTGATACCACTCACTTCCTTAATTGGTCAAATTTCCGGAAACTTCAGCTTTTCCACTTAACTTCTTGCTAATGGCCTTTACTCTGCTGAGCTCTGTGAGCGTGGCGCTAAAGTACATGGTATATCTGTGGCGCACCACAATCCACACCCATATGTGAGCGCTTCATTATACCGTGCAAGTAAAATTTATTTAATTTGATGGCTTGGAACGGTCTTTTGATGCTTCTGAGTTGACAGTAGTGAGTTTGCTGAACAGTATTTTTTCAACTTGTTCGCTTCAATTCTGCGTTTGATGGTTATTCACTCCGATTGCGCATTGATCTGTGATGCGATCCTCTCTACTCTGTCGTGGTCACTCATTGAGACTCTCACGTGCGCACATAGTATACCCAACTCTCATCTCCGCTCCATTCTCGGCGTGATACTAGCTGATAGTCTGCCATTTTTTGACTTTATACTATCCTTTGGCTTACAGAATCGGCAGTGTCTTGGTTTCTTCCGCCTGTGCACTATAGTTAATGACTAAAGTCCCGGTTTCATTGATGCAAACTTTATCTACCTCACCTGTATGCATTTGTCATCAGATCTTACCGCGATGCTGGCATCCTTCAGGCGTTCTCTTTGGGAGCATACTTCGAGCTTTATTTTCTTTGCAATTAACGGATGTTGACGATTAGTCGATTAGCCACCAAACGAAACGTTTTCCACCTTTGTTGCTAATATTTGTGCCTACATTATTCCCTTTTGTTGTTTATAGCACCAACTACATCAAAGAGCTCCTTCTTCCGGGTCGTCTGACCGTTCTAGATGATAGCTTAGGTTTGGCTATGTGGTTCGCTGCTCGAGGGCGTGGTCGTTGTTGCGAGGCTCCTAAATCAGATCTCGAAGTCACCGAGAATTTGTATACGTCTCCTGCGAAGGTAAGTCACCCAGACATCCTCTTGCCCATTCACGATAGCTGTCGGCTCAAGCATAGCTTGTACAGAGGCATATTTTAAACTACACCCAACTTGTGTTTTTGAGTCAGGTTGGTCTTTCAGACCGGCCATTTTCTTTTATTTTCTCCTACGTGTTTCTAACTTTACACTTTATTACGTATTTTATTTCTCTTCACATTTTCCTATCTTATTTATATTTGTTATTATTTTTTATTTACTCCATTATTCCAGACACCCCATGGCTTCTCTACCTATTTTCGTGTGGTTCTGCCATCGAATTGTTTCCTGTCGACATTGAACTCTTACCGATTACAAAGCTGTGTTTGCACCAATCCCCTCAGCATGAAACTCCTTCCATTCTCACCTGTCGTTTTGTTTGAATTCCGCATGCTCCAGTATTCAGCCTAACACACATCGCTACTCACAGTTGCACGTTTTCCAAACATGGTAATTTAGGCTATCCGCTTACGCTCCTTATGATTTACAACGTCTTGGAACCGACCGAGATTTCATAATTTCATATGCGTTTGAAAACAATGGACTGCCGGCTTTACTATGGGATACTCTTGCGACTGCGGCTTAATGCCCACTGCAACCTCGTTTTGTATTCTGAGTCTGCCATTGTTCCCCTGAAGAGTGATTATCGTTTTATGCTCTGCTCACCAACTAAAGGCGCCACCTGATATGGCGGCCCTCGCGTTTCCTTGTAATCTCTACCAGTCGCCTCTCTGTATCATGTGTGCCTCCTTTGCCGACGATAGTCTTTATGCTTCGCATTTATTCGCCACTAAGCAATGGCTATACCGCCTTTCAGAGTTGAGTGGCGTCCATTTGTCGACCAATAGTAGCACCCGTGTGTGTTGTGCCAGCGAAGTTGCAGTTTGTTCGCACTTTGTACGCTTTTCTGTGATCTTTTCTCAGGGATCCACCACCGCCTTCTTTTGCTTTTCATGCGGTCTTTATGTCTTTTCATTCCCATTACTTTCCGGTTATTTTACTACTACTGTTGTTGGGACATCAAGTGTTTTAACTTTCAGCCCGATCACTGGCGGTTCATGAAAATGAAAGTACCGCTTGTCTTTTGAAACCTCTCTATCCGTGGATTCACAACCACATAATCCATTCGCCTTGTGTATCTCAGGTGGCACACAGCACAATTTGTATCAGTGGTTTTCTATGTCTACATTTTTGTAGCATCCTTTGTTCGCTAGTGTGACGGTTTTCGACCATTTATGCGCTCACACACGTTGTTTACATTTTTCACTTCACAAGCGTTTTGTTGATACATTCGATGCACCACCACCATTTGCTCGTCTTCGCAGTGAGACTGCGTCTTAACGTGGTGCGACCTTTTGCATACCACTTTAACACATTGAGCTATATTGAGTGGTGCCTCCGGACTCCTTGATAGCTACTCCTACCAGCTTATTCAATGGTTAGAGGTCAGACGAAATCAGTCTCCTAGTCCTCCAAGTTAAAGAAAAGAGTAGGATGACCTCCATTTCTGTAAAACTAAATCATCGCCACCTTCCTGTCCTGCCGACAAACCCATGTCCAACCAAGGGGCCAAGCCCAGTTCATCGACTTCCATTTAGAGCCCTCGATCATCCTTCAGATTGGCATGCCTCAATGTACGCACATTGCTACAGATCGGTCAACAGGCAGCACTTGCCCGAACATTAGAAGCCCTCTCAATCGTTATCTGCTGCTTATCGGAGAGCCGCCTGCACGACTCGAACTCTGTGCTCACTGCGCTCCGCTTCAGGGGACACCAGTAGTATTTTCTCATTGCACATATCCAGTGACGATGCAACTTCGAGCACCGACCAAGCCGGTGTTGGTATTGCCCTGAGTCCCCGCGCTGAAGCTGCTCTGGTTGACTGGATTCCAATCAGTAGCCGGTTGTGTGCGGTCCGATTGGCTGACTCCTTCAAAGCTTCGTAGTCGCGCGGGACTAATTGGTGTCTATTCGTCATCGCCGCCTACGCACCCACAAACTGTAGCGATGATTCGGTAAATGATGACTTCCACCGCCAACTGAACGAGCTCCTTCGCCACAGTAGAAGCACGGACACTGTTGTGCTGGCGCGGGATCTGAACGCACAAGTTGGAAAGTTGTCCACTGATGAAATGCATCTGGGCGGTCAGCACGGTGTAGACTCCCGTAATGCTAACGGTGAGCGGTTACTTCATTTGTGTGAAGATGCCCGCTTATTCCTTGCGAGCACTAACTTCCGACACAGCACGCGCCGGAGGGTGATTTGGCGCCCACCAGCCTTGGACGCAAATCGATCATATTGCTATCAGTTACCGCTGGAGAGGCTGCATCCAGAACTGTCGTAGGACTTGGAGCACATGTGTGGACACCGATCATGCACTTGTATGTGCTGACCTGCGGATGCGTTTTGGCGGACGCTCAAAACGACGTTGTGAGCGCATTGACACCAACTAACTGGCGGAACCAGCGGTTCTGAATGCGTATCGAAGTACGCTGACATGCGAGTTGAGTAAGCACTCACTGGATGCAGTTGAAGTTCACTGGTCTCATATTCACCAGACCTTACTAGCAGCAAGCAAATCCCCATGTGCTAAGTCTAATCGCCAACATAGATATTGGGTCTCTTCTCGGTCTCTTGAGCTTATCGATGCTCGCCGGCATATTCTGGCCGGAAGCGAACACAATGAAACTCGCAAAGAGCTCCGGGCAAGACTCTATGCTAGCCTGAAGAAAGATCGCGAAGCCTGGTGGTCTCATCGTGCATCAGAGATGGAAATGTCCGCTGCCCTTGGTAACCGTCGTAAGTTATTCCGTCTGATACGTTAAACGAGCAGCAAGAGACCTGGTGTTAGTGAACCTATACGCGACGAGAGTGGACAGCCTATCTACAATTTGTCAAAACGTTTGGAGCGTTGGGCTGAGCGCTTTGAAAAGCAATTTAATCGGTCTTAATTGTTAGCTTTCCTCCCGGCAACTGATCGCCCCGCTCCGTGGGTTGTCCCTTTGAATCCACCCTCTCGCTCAGATGTCGATCGTGAGATCGATGTGTTGAAGTGAAATAAAGCCGCGGACCAGAGGATCTTCCTCCAGTTCTCTTCAAATTCGTGGGTCCTGCTCTTGTGGATGATTTATACGAGTGAAACGGTGGGAGCAGGAAACTGTCCCAACCGACTGGGGCCACTCCGTCATAGTTCCAATTTTCAAAGGAGGCTCACGAACGGAATGCGGCAACCATAGAGGAATCAGTCTGATTTCCATCGCCTCCAAATTGCTTGCCTCTGTCATCCTTCACAGACTGACAAGCACTCCTGGAAGCCATATTCGTGAAGAGCAAGCCGGGATTCCTCGAGGTCATGGCTACATTGACCACATCTTCACTATGCGTCAGTTGTTGGAGCACCGTCACACATATTGGCGGCCCTTCGTTGTCGTGTTCCTCGATATCAAAGGTGTATTCGATTCGGTGGATAGGCGTGCACTTTGGAATTGTCTACTCAGGAAAGGTGTACCTGAGAAATATGTAAATATTATCCGAGCATTATACGCGAGTAGCTCAGGCAGAGTGAAGGATTACGGCAAGCTGTCGTCGCCCTTTAATATCTCCAGAGGTGTGAGACAAGGATGCCCGCTGTCACCTTTCCTCTTCAACCTCGCGTTCACAGGACACGACTTAGAAGGTATGGATCTGCTCCCAGGAAAACGAATTCTTGACTTGGAGTATGCTGTCGATATTGCCCTGGTCTGTGACAGCTCTCAGACATGCCAAGCGGCACTGGACAGATTAGCACTGGCTGTCAGTCGCTTCGGGTTTTGCTTTGCACCATCGAAGTGCAAAGCGTTCCTCCAAGATTGGCCTGGACCGTCTCGTTCGCTGACCCTTGGTGGGGATCAGCTAGAAGTCGTTCAAAAATGCAACTAGCTTGGTAGTTGTATCAGCGCCCGTGGGATTGAAGATGAGATCACGAACCGTATAGCAAAAGCTCGGTTCGCTTTTGCTAACTTTCGCCACTTATGGCGCCGCCGCGCCATCACTCTCGCCCTGAAGGGTAGAGTGTACAATGCAGCGGTACGTTCGACCCTACTGTACGGTTGCGAAACTTGGCCCCTAAGATCGGCGGACATAAAGAAGCAAGTTACGTTCGACCATCGGTGCCTTCGCAGTTTGGCTCACATCTGGTGGGAACACCGCGTGAGTAACGAGCGTGTTCGACGCCTTGTTTACGGCACAGGAAAAGGAAATGAACCGCTCAGCACCGTTATTTCCCGCACCAGGCTCCGATGGCTGGGCCACGTGTTACGCATGCCAGCCCACCGACTCCCTCGACGTGCGTTGTTTGCGCGCCGGGGGTGTGGATGGAAGAAGAGGAGGGGTGCCCAAGCGATGAGTTGGTCGAGAGGATTGAGGGACTTCACTTCGGAGCTAGTCTCAGTTGGAGCGTCTCGGCCCCCTGGTTGGGGTCCGAAACACGATGAACACGTTTGGCTGGATACACTTGTTGATATGGCTAGGAACTGACCTCAGTGGCGTGCGTGTTGTGAGTTTCTTTTTACCACCCCATTCCTCTTAGCCTCCCCCTTCAAATCGCGATCTCATTATTTAGTGTTTTATAATTTTGATTAGCAAATGTTCTTTTCCCTGCTGCATAGTAGCCGGCAGGTAGCTTACCGGAACGATGCCGATCCGTTGCCGGTAGCTCAGCTGGCTTGCGCCTGTAGCATTGTATTCCCTTCTTTTCTTTTATTTATTGCGGCGTAATAGCTGAGGTGTTTCCCATCTCTAGCTAACGTATATAGTGTGTGTGTGTGTGTTTGTAGGGCTTTTGAGTGAAATGCTCTGGTTGGTGGACCCTAATCGTCATTCTGTCTAGGTCTGAGTGCCCTGGTAGTATCTCATCCCCCATACAAACACGGTTTCTTCGTTAAACTTCCAACATATGCTACATCGGCCACCTCACAGGTTATCAAGGGTCACCTTATCTGCTGCATACTGCAGGGCGGCTAATCGAAAACATGCTATTGTTTGGGCCTCCTTTTTCACCTATTTTCTAAATCCCCTTCCAATTCCCATTACTAATTTCTAAATCCCAGCCTTATGAACAGCAGCCCTAATGACACTGGAGCCGAGGGATCTGCAGCTACCCGCAACACCCACTGGACGCCCATCGGCCTCCGTCCCTTATAGGGCTACGGTGTCTTATTTTCCTTGCGGCGTTCAACGTTTGAATTCTAAGACATATAGGTCACGAGACTACACTTGCACGCATTTTGGGCACATTGGGTATTGACTTGTGTTATGTGTCCGAAACTAGGATTAATGATATTCATGGGGTTGTTGAATTAAATTCGTTCGGTTTGTCCTCTTGCTATTGGTTGTACGCATGCGGATACACTTATGAAGCACTCGCGGGTCAAGGTGTCATTCTCAGCTCCAAGGCTGAGCCATCGTTAGTTGTTGGGACTCCGATGAACAGCCGTTTGTGTGCAGCCCGTTTGACGACGTCAACTAAGGTTGATTCACGAAGTAGTACAAGACGCTGTTTGTTTTCGGTTTCCGTTTATGCCACACGCACTGCAGTTCTCATGCGGCAGGAGACACGTTCTGCGACGAACTGAACACGCTACTACGCAGTTTTCAGTTGTCATAGCACTAGCAGGGGATATGAATGCACAAGTAGGTCGCCTTGGTTTTCCAGGAGCTCAGCTAGGTGGCACTTACGGGCCTAACTCCCAGCGGACTGGCAACGGCTAGCGTCTGCTGCAACTGTGTGTGAAGCACCAGCTGTTTCTTAGTGTCACCGCTTTTAGACACAGCGGGCACCGAAGTGCCACTTGGCGTCCTGTAACTAGCCAGCAATGGACCCAAATAGATCACGTTGCGTGGTTTCATCTTGGATTGTTGCCATTTCTAGAGTACTTGTGTCTACTCCTACCATACCTTGGTACGCTGTCGTTTTTCTATGAGGTATACCGAGAGACACACTAAGCTTCTCGTCCGATTGGCAACTGAGAATTTGTCTCAGCCCTCGTTCAGGCAAGCGTACCAACGTGCATTGCGCACCAAACTTTCGTTCTCTTCTCCTCATGACACGACTTCGGTGGAATAAGGTTTTGACAGCTATGCACGACGTAGGCGCATCTGCATCGTCAGCGCACCAGTCACTGGATATCCGAGAGGTCAGTGAACCTGTTGGAGTCAAGATGAAACCGTCTGGCTCTTAGCACAATGTGATCAGGCGGACTATTAGACGCGAACTGAAGTGTAGCCAGCGCAATGACAAGGAAGTCCAGTGCAGCAGTCTGGCCCAACAACTAGAGGAGGCAGGAGCAGTAGGCAACTATTGCATGCTCTTCCAGCTTATCCTCACCATCGGTCCCAGGAAACCAGCCGTTGGTGAGACAATCAGCAACAACTGGTGTCATTATACAGAATAAGGAGCGCCGTAGACTTCGTTAAGCGAAGCTTTCGAGAACAGTTTAGTTGGTCCTCTGCTTCCGGAACACTCAGAGGCGATGCAGACTGAGCCATGGCCGGTTAGTTTATAGGCTCCATCGGAGACTGAGGTCCGAATTGCGATCACAGCCCTTATTAGTTCTCGTGCTGCTGACCCGGATTCCCTCGCACTCGCACCATTTAATGTTAGAGGTGAGGTTCTCTGCGAAGCACTGACCTCTGTTCGGACATGTCTGGAAGGAAGATACCGTCCAGACTAACTGTAGTGAATCCATTATAGTGGCAATATGCAATAATGTTAGTCGTACCGACTGTGCTAACCACAGGGGTATTAGCCTAACGCCAGTTGTGATAAAATTACTAGCCTCAATTCTCATACTCCTCCTCAATGTGGAACGAGAATCCTGGATTACGGTAGAACAAGCGGGTTTCCGCTCTGGACGTGGCTGTATATGCCATACATTCACTTTGCCGCCGGTGCTAGAGAAGCGCCATGTATACCGCAGACCGACAATAGCCTTGATTTTCGACTCATGAATGCGTTCGATTCAGTAGATCGATGCATTCTGTTCGAAATACTTGCGCGGAAAGTTGTTGCCATAAAATATATGAGCATTTTACACGCTGTATACACAAACACTACAGGCCGCGTTAGGGTCTAGGGCGACCCGTCGGATCTCTTTTCGACAACGAGTGGCATTCGTCAGAGTCGTCCAATTTCCCCACGTTTGTTCCGTTTCGTCGTGTACTGCAACATGTAGTGTTCCATTGCGGATTCTCGCGATGCAGATATTGTAGCGCTGCCTGGTGATTATGCGGACGATATACCCTTGTTTCTTAACGTTATTGAGGCTGCGCAATCAACCGTGAATTACCTCTAGAGTGACCCCATTATCTGGTATGCGCTTCTCACCTACAAAGTGCAAAGTGTTGTTGCAGGACCACCAACCACTGGATGACCCATTGACCCTTGATAGCGAAAACTCGAGGTCATTGAGCTATTCACTTTTCCTATTCACTTTCTCTGGCCGCTGCATCAGCAACGATGTGCTCATAGCACCTGAAGTCAGTTCACGTTTTGCGAAAGACAGTACTGTCTTCTTGGATCTGCGAAATCTTTGGTTACAGAAAGGATTTTCCCTCCGTCTGAAAGGCCGGGTTTACAGGGCCAAAATGAGGGAGTGAGACTTGGCCCCTTTAGTCTGCGGATCTGAGATGCTAGGCCACCGAGGCCTAGCACTGCCGTAAAGTGGACGTGTTCAGTGAATCGATAACAGTATTTCTTTCACATTTTCTTCTTGCATCTCGTTGGACAAGATTCCCTCACAGTTCATTAAGACTGCTCTACGTAGTGCTGAGTAGTTACTTTGGGGTGTCACTATGCAGTTCAAAGTAAGCCGATCAGAATCGCGTCGAATCCGCTCTACATTCCCAATTCATTTACACACTCTCAATTTGTGACGTGTTTAATTTTTGTAATCGTCCCCAATTTTGTTATGACGTGTTCGCTTTTTACAGCATCTTAGCAAGAATGAAATCTTCGACTCTTGTAGGCTATGCTTTGCGCGGATGAGTAACTGATTGAGTTCGGATCGACATGCTCAATAGACTTCGCTGTCAACGTTCTACGTCACTGTACCGAGTGGAACACAGTCACTGCGTGATTACCTGGGGTCCCCAAAGCTAAGACAGAGACCTTCAGAGAAATCGCTTTTACATGTTTATCTAAAGACAATACGCTCGGTGCATCATGGTATACATTGCTGTGTTAGCGTCGCAATCAGAACGTGGCATAATTGACATCTGGTAATTGTAAACAGTGGTTGTCAAGGTAACGTACTTACTACGCGATAACCGTATAACTGTGGGGATCACGCAATCGACTGCTTTGTAGCTGTGTCTCTGGGGACGAACAGAGGCAATTGCCATCTAATAATCTTATCACCAATAAGACATACCGCAGTTAGAACACAACAGCGGTATGACAGAATCGGAATTCGGGAGAAAACTTACGGCACGTGGTCGTTTATGGAGCCATGAGGTCTTTGTTTCCTCAGAATTAACTGATCTTTTTCCGAATTCCTCCTTATCCTGGTATGATCCTCACTTTGATCAAGCTATAGTGCATTAATGGGGTGCTGATTCTCGGTTTTCCGAGCTGATTAACGATTGTAGATGTTGAACAAAGTAGCATCTTCCATGCGCACTGGTAAATTGCGCTTACCAGCAGACACTTTCAAACCCACCTTGGTTTGGAATTGCTCTGTACGGTTCTGCTACGGAGAACTCCACATTAGTTAATCTTGATTAGTCTGCTTTCTGTTAGATTTGCACTGTCTTCTTCCTTGCTCATCGAAGGTTCTCCATTGCATTTCCTCAAACTGTCTTATTCGGTTACTTGTAGACTGTTTTCGTGGGTACTGGTGTGGATGAACAACTTGCCGGCTACACACGTCATCGGGCAATTTATACGTACGTTTTCGATATTTCTGCCTTCCTGATTCGTTTTGCCCTTATTGTGCCTGTTCATCACCATCGGTGACCATCTAACCATTCGTGAAACGAGGTGTTGTCTCACTGCTCAAGTTGATGCAAGCGTTTATTTTGAGCTCGAGGCTTTTAACATTGCGGTGTTTTTCGCTTTACTACCAGATTCCCATGCAATCGATAGCTGTCCTCTGTGTAAACTTCACGTGTATATTGAGTTTATACCATTTATGGGTAACACTCACATTCCCACATGTTCGATGCCGCGATCCATTTTGACCTGTCGTCCCCTCTCTTGGCTATACCTACATGTCTAAAGCACTTTATTTGCATCCTTGTGCTTGGGAAGCAGACTGGTTGCGGACACCAGTTCGGCATGGTGGACTTCAGCGTTCCTTCAATGTTTAACCCTAGTCTCCCTGTGCGCAACCAAGTGTCCATTGCGATATAGCTGTTTACTCTCATTTTATGAGATGCACTCGGTCTGTACCCAGCATGTCGCTGCCCTCTGATTGCTGAGTTCTTAGACAGTAGATTGTATCCACGTTTTATATTCACAATCTCTTTGCTTTTGCTAAACGTATGGCCATGGGGGTCCATGGGAGGTGTTTGCCACGTCAAAAGTCTGTATTGCACGATCAAATGTCTGTGCGCATTCAATGGAAAGAAAACTGCATTCCCAAGGGACGGTGAAACTTTGCTGCTGCCAGGGGGGGGGGGGGGATCGGTTTGCGCACTGTCGTAAGTCACGGATATTCGGCCACCAGAGACACGAGTCGTTTTTACACTTGCTCAGTGAGGCATAAATCAACTCGATCTGGACTCATGCGTCTGACACATGTGGCGGCACGTGTGAGTGGCATGTCTATGTTAGTCGAATTGCTCTCACATACCTACCGCGTTACGCCCACACTTCTCCGTGTGATGTTCATAGTAGCAAGTTATCCAAGCGTATTCTCACGTCACCTTGCTTGCACACTCCCATATATTCCAACTATGTCTTTTTCGGTCGACCGGTGTGGACATTGGTCAACATATCGTTTGCCACGTTACCACGCGAACTCAACCTGAAGGCGCTTGTTATCAACATCTTTGGCCTCCCAACCATGGGAACGCTGCAGTGTCGAATTAAAGACTGACATAGGTTGTACGAAACATCGTATATTAAACACTGGGGTATTAGATATGGGCATTATTTCCTTGGGCTTGATCCGATATGCACCGTGAACGATCCATTCCCGTTTTCCCTACTATTCTCGGCGAATCGTCCTTTGTACTTCTCATCCGTTTACACTACTCCTCTTTGTGGCGTCATCTCGCTTGCCGCACTAGGGATGTTTTTCTCTATTCAGGTGATTGTTTTCAAGTTTTGTGTCAGTAGCGATCAGCAAATCAAAAACTGTTGCTGTTCGGAACACCAGATCCAGCCGGCTGTCTGGTTTCGGTTCGGAACATCTTACCTCTTATGGTGAGAACTTTCACTAAATCGCTTTGACCGCGTTGGAATTGTTAATGTGAAGTGAACTACCATCTCGAAGATCAAGTTTTCACCCATTTCTAACACACATTGACGTAAATTCATCACTCTCTCGGCCTTATTGCTCTATTTGCTGCCTTTATAATCGCTTTTTTAGATAGTGTTTTCGGCACTGTTTTTGTAAAAATCTCATTTCATTATCCTCCTCCTCCTCCTCCGATTGTTCAACCGGCTCCTATACGCATCTTCGGCAGTGTTTGTGATCTTTCTCCCCTCTATATCCTACAGTTTATCCTATAGGACGACGATATTTTTTGATTTTGCCTGATTTCAGCAGAACTCGAGTGGCGGGTTCTGTGGGTTTTTCCTTACCTAGTATAGACCTCTATGTGATATTCTAGCTCGATCGTAGACCTATATAATGCAACCCAGCAACTCATCTGACCTTCATCAGACAGCGTCCACATGTCTACGCTGCCGCTTGATTGTCTTGTTGATTATTCAGCTTTGCGCGCTCCAACTCATTTGACATGGAAGATACTTCTATGTCCTTGTGCAACAGAATTATTGGTCTACTTTGAGCACAAACGTCTACCTTTTGGGTGGCCTCTATATGTTATATCGCTCGCAGAATTATTCCACGAATCACTCAATTACAACAGTCGTTTCTTTTTTACTTTTTCCTTGATTAATTTGACTCACCATTTTCGGCATTATTTTAACCTTCACTAACTCACATTTGGTGCGTCTCTGATAATGCGATGTATTTCATGCTGACCATACAATTTGTTCGGCATTGGGTTGGATCGCCTGAGTTTGTGCTCACTTCTGACTCTAACCCTTATCACATCATCATCAGCAGCAGCTTCAGCACTTGGTCCGAAGAGATTGCCACTCACGTCTTCGTCTCAATACTACGACCAGTGCTAGAGTATGGGTTTCCCCTCGTATTGTCCTATCACCCGGGGTGAGGTAGAAAAGATTGAGCGAGTGCAGCATGTAGCCACCAGGCTGATTCCCAACTTATGAGGTGTGCCGTACGAAGACCGGTGTACGAAACTAGGGCTGTACACCCTAGCTTATCGTCGAATGCAGGTTTAACTCATCATGACGCACCGGATATTACATCTGAGAGATTACCCATGTTGAGACCGCTGCTTCATCTGCGCACACCAAGCAGTACATGAGGACACCGGTACAAAATTGTCGCACCGGACTAGAAGCAGGTCGCTCACCAACTCTGTTTCGAACGAAGAGTGGTAAATGTACGGAACGGCCTACCGCAGCACGTAGTTGGGGCAAAGTGGGTGTCGGCATTTAAGGATTTCCTGGATAAATACTTTGCTGACGCAAAATATATTGAGCGCAACACAACATAACTGGTATTTGTCCCTGAGTGACATTAGATGCAGCTACACAGAGCAAACTCTACTTGCTGCTTCCAGCCAGTCATCATCATCATCATCATCATCATCATCATCATCATCATCATCATCATCATCATCATCATCATCATCATCATCATCATCATCATCATCATCATCATCATCATCATCATCATCATCATCATCATCATCATCATCATCATCATCATCATCATCATCATCATCATCACCATCATCATCATCATCATCATCATCATCACCACCATCATCCATCATGATCATCATCATCATCATCATCATCATCATCATCATCATCATCATCATCATCATCATCATCATCATCATCATCATCATCATCATCATCATCATCATCATCATCATCATCATCATCATCATCATCATCATCATCATCATCATCATCATCATCATCATCATCATCATCATCATCATCATCAGCATCATCATCATCATCATCATCATCATCATCATCATCATCATCATCATCATCATCATCATCATCATCATCATCATCATCATCCCTTTTATTCTATCCGATTGCACTTCTTGAGCTTCTATACAATGTCAACGTCTTAGTCATACGATTTGCACCTTCATACTGCAAGTTTGTACTGCATAGGCTTTCTATTCTCTTGATGTCGAACGCGTTGAATTAAAGCTACTTGATCATTTCATTTCTCTTAGCGATTGTATTCGCAGCGAAGTGCGTTCAGCTGCTGTAACGGTGACATCTTTGCGCATCTGGGAAAGCCTTTTTCCTTGGTCTGTCTACAGGTGCACCGCGGGTGTTGTATTCTACGAGTTTGAGAACTGGCCTTTTCTGTGTTGCATCATCGTCTCCTGCAGAGCTTTGCTGACACCGGTCGACGCCTTCATATTCACAACAATGAGTCGTGCAGACACGTGCTAAGCCATAGTGATCAAAGCTGACTTTATTGAGCACGCTGTGTGGTTGGGTTGCGACTCGCAACCTCTATTGAGAACTCGGTTCACATTGAGGTCATTACGATCTCGAGGACCGTATCCTGAATGGAAATATTTGGGTGTTGCTCTTCGCAACACTAGCACCAGTGTTGGGAAGAGCAACACCCAAATGTTTCCATAGTGATCAAGTTGATTTTTTTGTCCACAAACCAAACTGACTAGGCTGCTCATGTCCATGCGCCATTTAATGAGGAGAGATTTGTGTTGCTCGCCAAGTCGCACCACCACCATCAGCAGCAGCGGCAGCAATGCATCAGCTGTTCGAACTGACGCTTCCCTGTCATTCAATCACAATAACATGAAGAAGGAAGGAGAATAATAAGAGAGAGAGAAGGGGTCTTGGTATAGCACTTAAATACCCCACACCGTGTGAACAACATAAGGTCATATACAGTTTGCTGTCGCGCAAAGTTAAGGCGACATCGGCACGACAGCTTCATAGTGGCATTCACTGCATCAGACACAATTTAAACAAGCAGCTTTTACTAGGAGATAATAGCAATTGCGACACTGGTGCTGACTGGAATAGTGTAACATTCGAGTGGCAATCGTTAACTTGTTAATGGAAAATAAACTTAAGGAATTTTGTGCCGAGTGCTCCTGATCCACCTCGGCTTTCAGTCCGAGGTCCATGGGGCCAACCTAAAACAGCTCGAAACCTTACAGAATATGGCGGATAATCTGTACTGCCCTGGCGTTTACTTTGATTTCTTAATGAACTGTCTGTTTAAAATGTGTGTGATGTTGCGGTATCAATGCGGATGAGGTTGGTTGTGACACAGGTAGCGTAAGTCGCAAGAAAGCTATCCTGTCGATTGCACCTTACATCCGAATGTGCGCAGTTGACAAAGTCTAGGTACCTTAATCCTGAATGCTTCATTTGGGCATGTAGGCATCACGTTTTATTTCTCTGTCCTCGTTCTTCTTGATTATCGAACCTTTTCTAACTGTATGATGGTGAAGCCTTAGTATATAAACCTGATATGCGACTGAATCCCTGAGCTGCGTTTTTTCTGCTTTTCTCTGATTGCTACTCGCTGCCTTCGATCTTCGTCAACACTGTAGTTGGCGCTTTTTCATACCAATTACTCTTTTAGGTCCCGTTTTGGTTTCGGTTACAG